TTCTTCTTCTCCTCTCATTCGACAGCTCTATTTCAGCAAACATGATTAATGGAGGAATCTGAAAGATAAATGAAGCGGATTCCGGTATCCGGGGTTGGGTCCAATAGATTCCTTTTTGAGTGGAGTGACCACAATTAAACTAGATGGAACCAATTATCTAGCCTAGGCATAGTCTATACGGATTTATGTTTGTAGTAGAGGTAAACTAGGGTATCTCACAGGCAATAAGGAGAATCCTACAGAGACGGACCCTACATATGAAAAATGGATGCATGAGAACTACACAGTGATTGGGTAGTTAGTCAACTCTTTGCAGCTACACATAAGCAATATTACCTCTGAATGACTCCTACCAAGGAGATTTGGGACAGTGTCACCAAAACATATTCACAGAAGTTAAATGTTGCGAGAGCCTATAAGTTGAAGAGTGATGTGAACAATCTAAGACAAGGGGAGAAGAGTGTAGCAATTTACTTCTCCATGTTGAAATCATTGTAGCAGGAGATTGATGTTATGGAGACAATTGTATAAGAGAGAACCAAGGATGCAGAGACATTTAGAAAATTGGTAGAACGAAACAGGGTGTTTGAGTTTCTTATAGGACTTAACCTTGAGTTCAACATTACTAGGTAGAATATTCTGACCAAGGGTGAAGTCACCCTTGCTCAAGCATACTCTATGGTGAACAATGAAGAGAGTAGGCGGCAAGTATAGTTACAGGGACCACCTTCAAAACACTTTGCAAATGCTGTGATAAAGCTGAAAGGGATGACTGAGAAAAAGGAAGTGATATGTGAATATTGCAAGAAACCGAAGCATACTAAGGACACTTGTTGGAAACTCCATCCAAAACATCTCTCGGACAAGTTTCAGAACAATAGTAACAGCAATTTCAAGAAGAGTGGTCAAATAGGGAAGCCTAAAAATGCAAATGTTGCTACAGTACCTGAAGGCGGAAATAGAGAAAGTGAAGAAAAATTGGCTATGGAGAAGTTCGCAACACTAAAGGCAGAGTTTGAAAGGTATGGGAGGTTACTTAATCACTTGGAGGCCACTGTTGTAGCATCCAACCCTTCAGGCATCACCTCGTCATCTGCATTTTCTCACTTAGGTACTCGTTCTTTTGCAAATCATGCTACTATTTCAGGTAATCATAAAATCCCTTGGGTTATTGATTTTGGTGCATCAGACCATATGACTAATATACTTGTTTGTTCATATCAGCTCCTTTTTGGTAGAGAGAAGATACCCCTTGCTAATGGGTCTCTTGCTCTCATCTCTAGCAAAGAGATGTTAAAGTCAAAGCCTCTGAACTCTTGTTTTATCCTCTGTTCTCCATGTCCCCAAGCTTAATACCAACTTGTCATCTATCAGTAGCTTGACCAAATCCATGAATTGTAGCATAACCTTTTCTTTCCTACTCATTGTGTTTTTTAGTACCTGAAATCTTAGAGGATGATTGGGAGTGGCTATGAAGCAAATGGAATATACTTGTTGGACGCACCTAGTAGCAATCTTGGGCCACCTAATGGAGTTGCTTTGGAGTTCGTTTTGTCAATGCCTATTGATTGAGTCATGTTATGTCATTTACGTTTTGGTCATTTATCTTTTTCTGCTTTAAGTCATTTGTTTCCCAAAATGTTTAAGGGAATATCTCTTACAAATCTTCATTGTGAGTCATTTGAACTTGCGAAACATTATAGATAATCTTATCCAATGAGTAATCACCTTGCTTCTTTTCTTTTACTGTTGTAATCAGATTTAATTATCAGATTTGAAGGATAGTTTCACATCTTCAATAAAAAACATAAAAACACTACTCTAAAAGCTTCCCAGATAGTATGTTTTGGTCCCCACTTCCATGACATATTTCCATTTCCATGGGTAGCAACACGAAATTTTACCGCAATCGACATTTCCCCAATGAACACTACCAAACCTACATGGAATACAAGAGATAGTTTCCACAACATATTTCCATTTCCTCTTCCATGGGTAGCAACATGAAACTTTATTAGAATCAACATATTCCCTAGTGAACGCTACCATTACTATGTGGAGTACAAGAAATAGTACTATCACATAAGTTGGTGACAATATTATTGATATGTGAAGTAACAAGTTATTGTCCACCTGAGCTAGCTCAATCATTTCAAACATGAAGTTAAATAATAGTTTTTGTTTTTGTAGTTAATTCTATCATGAAGCTCTGAGCTAGCTCAATCATTTCAAACATTGTGCATATTTTACAATGTTTCCCCCATGTCTATAACTTTTACAATATTTTTGACATTTCCAACATGTTTTTTATATTTGGATGACCAACATTTCCACCGACATCAACATTTTAAACCTTGCTCCTGCCAAATCACATACTGTTTTTAGCTCTATCGGTAATTCTAGCAACTGAACAACACAAGTGCCACCCCTTTAAACTCATTAACCCACTCCACATCTTAAAGCAATACAAGAACATTCTAGAGCCATTCACCTTTAAATCTAAAATCTACATGTCGACATGTTCATAGACAATTATTTTTCCTTTTTACCTTTTCTCATTTAATTTACTGATCAAACTTATTGCCTACTTTAGATTTGAATTGGTGAAGTAACTGTTGTGGTGATAAAGCTACACACTTTATCTACAAAGTCAAACCCATGGGTTCACATTTTTCACATACTAATTTATTGCTACATATTAATTAAATAAAAAAGGTAAGAATTCTTTCCTTTTTTTTATGAGTAAAAAGGGTAAGAATTCTGTTATGAAAGAGTAAATTTACAACATAGCCAACTGAATAAACAAAGGGCAACCTACATTCATGATAACAAATGCTGCAAAAACTAAAAAATATGGATCACACAGTAGGTCAATATAACTAAAGATACTCCAAAAATATACTAAAAGTGAATTGCAATGACCAATGTAACAATCAGTGTCCCAATTGTCAGTGTAGTTCCTCTTTCTCTTGTTCATGTCCAAGCTTCAGACATAGATTTGGCATTAAGGACTGCCGAATTGCCATAATTTTCTGGTCTAGATAGCTAGTTGAATAAATAGCCACCCACAAATTCAATTTTCCGGAACAACAGGTTAAAGGACCAAATGTAGCATAGAATAAGATAATTCTGTACCATTTCATCATGTACATTTCTGTTATAGCAAACAAATATATTTCTCAATCCTAATAAAGTCAAAAAGAAAAGAACCCATTTACTTCAAAAACCTAATTCGTACAGTAAACAAACAAATAGAGATAGAATTTTTTTTTAAAAAAAAAGAAGCACAATATGGGAAATTTCGACAGAAGTGACAATAGCAATTGATATCCAGTTTTAAATATCATTAACAGATCAAAATAATTTTATTAAGAGATAGAAACAAAAAAAAGCATAGCTGTAGAAGAGTTTCTGCTTAGAAGATAAACAGTAGAATACCAACGGATATAACCAAGAAAATGAAAAGAAAAACATTGATAAACAATAAAAAATAAGGAAAAGTAAACCAAAAAACCAAATGAGTATCTATTGCTAATACATTGAATCAAACTGACCCTTCCACTTCAAGAAGAACAGCAAGTTCTTTAGATGGCGTATCGTCGCGGGGACAGGACACTGAGTTGGAAGCAATACACCGACTGAACTGCAGATTTCTACCGTGGAATCGAGAATTCCTGACAGAAGCGTGAGAAACAGAGGGAATCGAATGAAGAAAGGCTCTCCTGGAAATTTCATTGGTGGAGACGCGAAGAGTGTAGAGAAGGGAGCAGGAAGCCGTTTCCATGACTGCAGACCGTTTGAGTGACTGTCTGACTGACGACGAATCTCCTCACCACAGCTTTAGCTTACGTGTTATGAAACTCGCAAATTTATTAATGTACCACTAAGATTTAGGAAATTGAGCAACTATACTCTTTATTTATAAATTGTGTTGAAGTACCCCAACTTTTCTGACAATTGTCTAAAAACATCTCCTGCCGTTAATTTTTCGTCGCACACCGTTCACATATAATATCACGGAATTGATATATTTTTCAAAAATTTCAAAAATATCCTTTAACGCTCAAAAATACCCTTTTGATTTGAGATCGCCGAAGCTTAGACCAAGAGCCATAACAACGAGCTTCATCGCACATTTGTGGTCATTTTGTAACAAGTCAAGGTGTGTACAATGGTTTACTCGCTAAGCTAGACGAAGAAATAAATCCAGCTTCTAGGGTTCTACCCTCCATTCCAAACCCCAAAAGCCTTCATTGTTGTAGAAACCTCTCACAGAGAGATTCTTCTCCCTTTATCTCTTGTGTCTGCTTCCTTCTTTAAGGAGGTTAAATATTCTTTTACAACTGAAATGCTTCTCTGAAGTTTTTTTCTTTTCATTTTCTTGCGTTTTTATTATTATTATTGCCAGCCCAGAGACTTGCCTCTCATTAGTCATTGAAACTATTAGATCTGTAGGCAACTTCTAAGATTTCACTTATATATTTGCTTTCCAATGCCCACTTGAAAGATCCCAAAGCTTTGGCTTCCATAACCCATTTTCTGATCTGGGTTCCTTGCAGAAGAGTTACTCAGCAAAAACTGTTAAAATGAGCATTTTCCATCAATTTGCAATTTGGGTCTTGCTTTTGCTCTTGGATCTTCAATCTAGATATGAGTTTTACCTTCTAAGTAGTTACCCTCACAAACACCAGGTCGCGCGACAGTTGTCGGTGAAGGTGAATTCTCGCACTTCCATCGATAATGAGATGCCACTTAGCTATTACAGTTTTCTATAAAGCCTCTCAAGGGTGTTAAGGACAGCGCCGAGAACCTAATTGAGCTCCTCATGGGAGATAGGATCGGTAATTCTCCTTATAGGTTTAAGATGTACGCTAACAAAACCGACATCTTCCTTTGCTGGGAAGAGGAGGGGTTGCAGGGTTCCGGGATTCTAGTATTTCAACTTGCAGCCTCTCTACTCTCTTTATCTACCTTGCGGCAATGGCTAGGATGAAGATTGAAAGAGGAAAGTAGTTTCTTTTCATCCTTCCAATGGATCCAAACTACCTAATAGTTTTTGAAAATTTTCATCAATCAGATTTTATTCAAGGAATAGTGGAGAGCTAATTCGACATTTCATTTTTTTTCCATTAGTTCTTAATGACAATGTCAATTGTCAAAAAACTTAGGGCACTTTGATACTTTAAGACAATATGTAAATAGTACAGTCAATTTCCTAAACCTTAGAGGTACCTTAAGACATACAAAATAATACAAAATATAAGGTTTTGCATTCTACATATTTGTATTTGTACCGCATCCAAACTCAACCTCAACTACAAATACGTGTAAACTTTGTTTAATGACTTTTATGCCCCTATTTTTATTTATATTTGCCTAAAGCAAAAACATATCATCCTTGGGTGTGGAAACCGAGTGAACAACTGTGAGACATGTCATGCCCTTTGTGAGGACATTCATTTAGTGGTTTTTACCTTTCTAATGTGATTTCCACCCGTAAAACCAAGCATGTTCTTCAGTTACATCCAAATCATCTAACATCGTACATCACATACAAGACAGGTCCTACTTTTATGATGGTCCTAGTTTCATAGTGAGATGTACTAGAACATGTTGATAGGATGTTGGAATGTGTTTTATTGGCAAGAAATCCCAACTCTTTTTGATGAAAACTCCGAAATGCCCAAGATAAAAGGCCTCTTTTGGGTACATCAGATTAACTAAACACTTTAGTTGTATAGCAAGTTGTTGAATTAATGATAATGCTCCACACCCATGATAAAATATAGGGGGCCTATAGTGAGAGATTGAACGGTTATGGGGTTTATGTACTTTCTAACTAGCGTGGAGTGTTATTATTGGTTCCACAGCCTACCTTCAGCTAATCTGATCTTCCATTTGGGTAAATCAGATTAACTAAACGCTTTAGTTGTATAGCAAGCTGTTGAATTAATGATAATGCTCCACGCCCATGATAAAATACAGGGGGCCTATAGTGAGAGATTGAATGGTTGTGAGGTTTATGTATTTTCTAATTGGTGTGGAGTGTTATTATTGGTTCCACAACCTATTGAACATCTATTGCCTTCAACTAATCTGATCTCCCATTCGAGACAGATTTAGAGCGTGTTGCATTAATTGAGTCGTGGTAGGTGGTACTCATTCTGGATAATAAGCTGCCCGGAGTAGCTTTATATTACAGCTTCAATTGTTTTTGTGTGAGCCCCAACTAGAAATGCTAAAAGCAATGTCCTAGAAGCCCTACCAAATGGGTACAAACCATTTCATAGCCATAATGGCTTTTCCGAGTTTCCTCTTAAGCTTCTTCTACTGGATTCTGCAAAGTAGTTCAATGAAAGCAATTCAATCAAAGCTTCAATCCTCCCAAATGAACCCACACCTACTCTAGCACGATTCCAATCTTATTTTGGAATTTGGTTCTATCAATATCCATTTCATTATTGTTTATGAAAGAAAACGTAACATACACAATAAATTAAAGCTCATTAAACCATGAAATTTATGATAAAGATGGCATGACTTGTTCAATAGCGAAGGAATTGATTAAGCTTATATTTATGGAATGTTGGGATTATTGAGCTGCATTCATCTGGTTCTCTTTACAAGTTTATATTTAGAGCTCTCATTCTTCAACTTCATGAAGGGATGAGAGATCCATCCTATGGACGCCCAAAGATTGCGGAATAAGGGGCGAATTTCAAAAATTTTTCTCTCCCTTCAACTGGGAATCGTATTCCCTATTTAGAAAATCGTATTTTCAAGGATTAATCTTGAACCATAAACTGAACCAGATCTGAACCAAAAGGAGTGGGAG